GCCCTCGATGGACACCAGAATTTTGCCTGTGAGAGTTATTTCAACGCAAACTTTAAAAAAAGAAGAAGAAAAAAGAAGGGAAGAAAAAAGAAGGGTCCCTGTTAGTTTGTATCTGATGGCATGAGAAAACTGCAGACAAATACATGAAAACACCCCTGATTCTTATGCCAGAGACTGAACGGGACTCGTAGCCACGCTCTAGGACAGAGTTGAACGACGCCTAGGGTTTCTGAGACTGAATCTCTGAGAGAGCAGATAGCCTCATTTTTCTCCATGGGATCAGCTGGTGGATTTGAACTGCTGGCTTTGCAGAGCACTTAAACCACTACACCCCTGGGACTCTGTTAAACTAAATAGTTTCTACCATTTAGTGAGTGCTTGTTATCTGTCTTATAGGTCCCCACCTTCTGCCAGTCAGTCCCATTCTGACTCATAATGACCCTACCTAACATTTCCAAGGCTATAAATCTTTATGGGAGCTGAAAGCCTCATCTCTCTTCCCTGGAGCGACTGGTGGATTAGAACTAATGACCTGGTGGTATTATAACTCACTTTGTCACCAGAGGAGATACGGTGTAATCCCCAGCATCTCCGAGTTGTGCAAAGGGTCAAGTACTCGCTCCTGAAGGTCACAGTCATGGAAAACCCCGTGGAGCCCAGGTTCTACTCCCGGGTCGCTCTGTGCTGGGAGCAACAACCGTGAACACCAAGCATGTCTGCACAGCCCATGGCTGGGTAAGTGGCGTGCACTCAGCAGTGTGAACCCACCCAGCAGCAGTTGGAAGAAAGGCGTGGTGCTCCGCTTCCAGAAAGGTTACAGCCAAGAAACCCTGCTGGGCAGTTCTACTTGCCAACACACGGGGTCACCACGAGTCAGAGTTCCGATTGTATTTATTTAAGGTTTATGTTTTCCCCAATTTGACGGTCTGCGGACCAGAGACCGGGAGCCATCTCCACAGCTTCCCACAACGAGTGAAATCCTGGTTCATTTGCAGGCACAGATCATCATGCCAGTAAATATATATATATTTTGCCAGTAAATATTTTCTCCATATTATTCTGATGGACACATTGTGTTCCAGTGTAAATAAGGCATCGTTTTAACCCCTTGTGCTGAGCGTTTAGGTGGCTTTCAATCTACTGCTTTCATTAAACAATGCTCATTCACTACCTTCACTATTTACATCTTTGCTCCCCTGAGTGCTAATCCCAAAGGGAGAATCCCTAGCACTGAATTTACTGGATCGGAGGTATGCACAGTTTGCTGTGGATGACCCAGTTCCCAGGGAGGCAATTTTCAGCTTCCTGTTGATAGGAGGATTACATCTGCCACTGGCAAAGCTGCGGAGAGCGGCTGTGAATGTTGGTAGGTGTTCGAATATGCAGTGTGTACAAGACAGACGTGAGTGTCCATGAATTGAGGGTGGGGGTTAAAATTGGAAATCAGAGGCACATCTAACATCCTGTTAAGACTGACCACTAGCTACTGCAAGTGAGTCAATTCCCACTCATGGTGACTCCAGAGGACAAGGCAGAGCTGCTCCTTAGAGTTTGCAAGACCACAAATCTTTACAGCCTCATCTTTTTCCCACAGAGCAGCTGGTGGGTTTGAATCACTAACCTTGTGCTTAGTAGCCCAGTGCTTATCCCACAGAGCCACCAGGACTCAAGGCCCTCAAGTCGTTTCTAACTCACTGTGAGCTGGTAGAACTGCCACTGTGAGTTTCCAAGACTAGAGAGCCTCATCTTTCTCCCCAGGGGCGGCTGGTGGTTTCGAACTGCTGACCTTTCAGCAGCCCAAGCATCACCCACTACACCACCCAGGGCTCCCGAGACAAGGGAGTTGTAATTCCCTGCAAGTGAACACACCTATAGTCTTTCTCTTCTCTCTCTCTCTCTCTCAGTTGTCTCAACATATGAGGACCAGAGACAAAGCAGAATATGTCATTCAGCTTCGACTCTCCCACTAGCTTTCCACTGCATTCAGGAGAGAGCTCAATACCTTGCCTGTGGCCACCAGGGCCCCTGCCACGCTCCTGCCTCCTGCCCTGTCCCACCTTCACTCTGAGCTCCAGACTCACACACCCTGCCCCTTCTGTGTGAAATGCTCTCCCTCTTACCCCCAAGTTCCCTTCTTTAAATGCGACTCCCTCTGGGGAGCCGCTCCCTCCCCCTGTCTGGTTTTCATTCAATCCTTCCACCATTTGTTCTTTTAAAAACGCCGAAAGAATCCTGGTGTTGTTGAGAAGATCCCCAGCAAGACACACACCCATCCAACTGTCCCTCCGCGGACATGCCAGGGGCCCTGAGACATTCTTCCAGTTATGCAACCACTCGCCCCTTCCTTTATGGAATTCTCCCTCCCTCCTTAACGTAGTCACTGCCCCCTAAGCTTCCTGTCCAATCTGTCACACTGCTGTGTCACTTCCATTCTGTAGTTCTTAAAGGCACTGCTCAGGGCAGTTTGACTAGCTACCCTAAGTTGTCGCTTGACTTTAAAAAGACTTGAGATAATTTTGGTTTAAGGGCAACTGTTTCAGGGGCTCATAGAACCCCAGTGGCTCCAGAAAGTCTAAATTCCATGAACATGTGAAATTCCCTAGCGTACTTCCCAGCCTTTGAAGGAAGAGTCTCCTATGGATTCTTCCACGGACTCTTGGTCAGCGGTCAGCAGTGGGAGCTGGGCACCATCCAGTGCTTCTGATCTCATGGCAACCGAGTTCCTTTTTAAAATTTAGTTAATGTGTTTTGGGTAAGGAGGTCCGGTAAGCGCTGGACTGCCAACCCAAAGGTTGGTGGTTCAAACCCACCAGCTGCTCCACTGGAGAAAGATGCGACTTATCAGCTCCTGTCAAGATTTATAGCTTTGGAGAGTCTATAGAGGGCTGCTCTGAGTCAGAATGGACTGGATGCAGTGGGTTTGGTTTATTTAGTGAGGGTTTTAGGTTCCCATCTAACCGTTTTTATGAAAGTGGCTCCATACCAGTTGCAATTTTCACAATCACTGTGTCAATATTCTCATACTGTCCATTCGGTTTGTTGTTCTCCTTGAGCTGGCTCCCCTCCCCCTCTGTGCCGGCTCATCTTTGCGTTGGGGGAAATGTGGACCATTACTCATATTACTCCTAAGTGATATTTTTAATTTTTTTATTTTTAAAGTGTTGTATTCTTTTTGGGTATTTTTAATTTTATGTTGTTTCACTGAAAGGTAGCCTTCAGAACTAGCTTCCGTTCCAAGTTCAAAGGTTATCTGAGGGTGATCGTCTCAGAGGTTTCTCTGGTCTTTACTGATATGGCCCTTTGGGGAATTTTAAGTTTGTCCTGCATTTTTCGTTCATTCTATCCAGAACCTTCTATTGTGTCCCTGATCAGAATGGTCGCAGTGGCAGCCAGGTTCCGTCTAGTTCTTCTGGGCCCAGGTTAGAGAAGATTGCAATTCCTGTGGGCCCTAAGTCCTGTGGACTAGCTTCTTCTTTGAAACTTTCTCACTGCCTAGCCAGTGCTGACTCACGGTGACCCCCTGTGGGTTTCTGAGACTCGCTGCTTACAGGAGTAGAAAGTCTTTCTCCCGGGGAGAAAGACTGTTGGTGGATTTGAACTGCCAACCATGCAGATCCCAGCCCAACACACTACCAGGGCTGAAACGTTGATTTCCTGTATTCTCTGATGCTGCACAGGAACAGACACCGATAGATGTGTCTTAGAGGATCAGCTGCAAGTTTAAGACCTCAGCTGATGCTCCTCAAACTGGGAACGTAGACAGTTCTCTCCGTGAACTATGGTCAATGCCGTTGGACATCAACTTGCCCCGCCCCAGACACAGTCCCATGCCTTCTAACCCTGTAAACAACCCCCACGACTTGTTTGGCTATGTCTAGGAAGTCTCTCTAACTGCACCCCGCTGCCATCTGGATATCTATGCAGCTCTTCTTTGTCATATGGATGTAGAGGTAGCACACACAAATGTATAGATACACATATTTACAGATACACTTAGACGAGCTTGTGCATGCACTCACATGGACCTTCTTACACACGTGTGCATACATAGCTACCTCCATAACCACACACACATTTTTGATCCTTGTGACTGTGGCTGCAGAAGTGTATATGTCTCAGCACTTGGGGAAATTGTCCCGTTCTTTCGCGTAAGCACCATTTGTTCTTCGGGTCCCACTCCCCCGGGACCCAGCACGGTTGGTGAACAAGTTTTCTTGGGTGACGGAGCAGTTCATCTCAGTCTTCTTCACTGGTCTGTCAGCGCCAGGAGGGCAGGAGTCCCAGCGGGTTTGCTCATCGCTGCCCTTCAGTGGCTAAAATCAGTGCTCCCTCACTATGGAGTACACCACGTTGCTTAAAGCCTCATGAGACGGAAGCCCATCCGAGAGAAAGAACAGAAACACCTCCCCCTTCCTCCATCCTTAATCCCAGCGGCCCACCCTGACCGCGCGGCGCGTGCCTGGGGGCAGATGCCATCCATGGCACGGTGGAGGGCAGAAGCCAAGCGGCTGGTGGCTCCCGGGAGCCTTTGAGCGAGGCAGGAACCCGAGTCTCCTTCCTGCCTGCAGTTCCAGGAGGATGGGTTCCTGGTTCTGGAAGGGTTCCTGTCTGTTGCCGAGTGCGCAGCCATGAAGGAAAGGATTGGCGAGATCATGGCCAAGATGGACGTCCCTCTCCATTGCCGTACAGAGTTCTCCACCCAGGAGGAGGAGCAGCTCCGAGCACAGGTAGGTGTCCGGGGCAGATGGACACAGGATCTCTCTCCCCATGGGGCAGGGTCTCAGCCCCCAACCATCAGAGAAACCTAGAAGGGAAGGACTCCCCAGACCCACAGGCTCCCTCTGATAACTAACAGGCCAGCCCCAGAGGCCTCTGCGTACCAGGCGTCATGAAGGTTGTAAGGTAGGCCTTCATCTGACAGGTAGAACAAGGAGGCTCAGCTTGGTGAACCTTGCCCCAAATTGCACAGTGAGTGATTGACAGAGGTGGGATTTGAACCCAGAGTTGCCTGATACAAGCACGATTCTGCTGTGCTTCCTCCGTAATTCTGCTCCAAAGAGCCTCTCTGTGGTCAGCAACTGAGAACGAGCCCAGAGATTGAATCTACTGGGCCTACCTGGGTGAGTCTTCTCCCCCCAGGAACTCTGGTTTGTCCCCTGGTTTGAGATGGCCACCTTGTCCGACATAGTCCTTGTAACCCTGTATGGTCTGGCTTGATGAACTTCTTGGTGGCCAGCAGCAGCCATGGAGAAACACTGGTACAGTCATTCCCATAGGGCACACTCGCCACTCACACTGGGCTACCTCTGCCATCTGGTGGGCATCGTGGGTATTACAATGACCAGAGACTTGTATTCCAGTAAGTGAATTAACTGTCTCCTGCCATCCCATCCTAAAGCACCTGCTCTTGGAAGCTGAGCATGCTCAGACCTGGTTAGTACTTGGATGGAAGACTCCCTGGGAATACCAGGGGCTGTAGGCTTTTTTTTTTTTTATCTTTCAGGAGCCTTGGTCTTAGTGGTTATGCATTGGGTTGTGGTCTGCAAGGTTGGCGGTTCCAAACCACCAGCCTGCTCCTCGGGAGAAAGATGGAACTTTCCGGCTCCTGAAACTATGAGTCGGAATTGACTCAATGGCGTTTGAGTTTGGTTTGGGTTCTGGTTTGGAAGGCTTTTTAGGGAGGAAGAGGGGTTTTCTACAATGGCAGTGGTTTTTTGTTTTTAGGGACTAACAACAAGGATGAAGCGTTGACAAAAGACCAAAGTCAGACCACACTCACTGTCCTCAGGCCATTTCTAGCCCCCAGTGACCTCACAGGACATAGGAGAACTGAGGCTGTACATCCCTTTTCATTTCTTTATTGTAAATTAGGTGGGGGGGTTACATTTCATCTAACCATTTTTGTATTCAATAGTTGAAACTACTAATCAAGTCTCCCAATAGTGTACCCCCCACCCACTCCTTGATTTCTCTTCTCTCGTGGACAACTGTTTCCCATTACACCCAAGTTAGCACCCACCCACAGTCTAGCTTGTTGATTTATCCTCCCTCCCTGCCCCGCCCCACTTGACACTCTCCAGAGTCCACTCTGTTTGACGTGAAAGTCTTTATCTTTATTTTTTACATTTTGTCCCCTTATAACACTGGTCTCCTATACTACTTGTCCTTTCTCAGCTGCTGAGAAGCTTCTAGAAATCAGACGGAGTGGAATGGAGAATGGGAGAGAGAAGTGTGTCTATCTTGGTTTAGAACCCTCAACAGTCAGTGTCTATATGGTGAAAGCCTAGAGGTGAAATGGGTACTAAACAAGCAAAAACTGGCCAGAGGTCCCAAGGAACGCCCACTCCCCTGCAGGTTATCTTCACAGGCCACTGTCTTTGAGTCCCCGGGAACGCTGCATGCGTGGAGACTGCTATTCCACATACTATGGTCCATGGAACATGCAGGATGCCATTTGGGGTGGGAGGGGGGTATTGCCCTGCAGACAGGCCAGTTTAAACGATCTATTTGTAAATTCCTTTTAGCCTTCCTTATTGCTTATGTAGATGTGGTTCCTGGAATTCTCCTTGGAACGAGTTGTAGCATCCCAGCGGTTTCCTCGCAAATGGCTGAATTCATTAAAAAGTTAAATGACATCCCAGACACGCGACGACCTCATTGGATCTGTGATCGCCGCTCTGCCTTATTTCGCTGGGCTGCCAAACGAACAAACAAGTCTGTCTTGGAGTATGGTGAGACTCTAAGTCTCAAGGACTCTGGACGTGTCGTGTGGTCAGAAGAGACCAGTCCCTGGAGAAGGCTGTCATGCTGGGCTAAGTGGCAGGGCGCTGAAAAACAGGAAGCCCCTGGACAAGATGATTGACACAGTGGCTGTAGCAGTGGGCTCACAGACTAATGGTGGGGGTGGCGCAGGACTGGGCAGTGGCTGGCTTTGTTATCCATAGGGTTGCTATCGACGGGACAGCACCTAACAGCAACCCTGCTACAGGAGCCCCGGTGGCATGGCGGGTGAAGCACTGTGCTGCTCACTTGGGGTTGGTGGTTCAAACCCATCAAACCACTCCGTGGAAGCAAGCCAAGGTTGTCCGCTCCCATAAAGATGCAGTCTCAGAAAGCCTGAAGGCCGGTTCTGCTTTGCCCTCTGGGGTCCCTAGGACTTGGACTCTGCTCCAGCATGGTGGTGGGCTCTGGGTTTGTCCCTGATGCAAAGGAGCCAAGAACTAGCCTGCAGTGGGGAGGGCAATTCAGTAATGGTGTTAGTCGTTGCCCGAGTCCCAGAGCAGTTGCTTACAGGAAGGAGGGAGGGGGCCCAGGGCAGGGTTGGTATCTCTCAGCTCCAGCCACCTCATGACAAGGGAGGGGTGGCACCGCCCACGCGTGTAAAAGGCCTCCCCACTGAGAAGGGGATGCATCCCAAGGGACTTCCAAACGTTTGTGGGCAAACATCACTTACAATGGAACTTCTCACAAACGTTTGGAAGCCCCCTTCCTAGGGTGGAGAACCCAGGCACATTTTCCTGAAACAGCATTTGCATTCCGGGGCTAAGAACTTGGAATCGTCATGTTAACATGAACAAGAATGTCTTAGTTGACTTGTTTACGTCATGGTTTTATGGGACTTCATCATTAACTGGCCTCCAAAACAGCCGTGTTTCGTGTGCTTCTGTCCCCTCTTAGCTCATCGCACCGCGTTGCCTGGGGTCTCACAAACCTGCAAGTGGCCATGCCGGGCACAAGCGGTCTCTTTGGTCTGAAGAAAACACATGGGGAACAGGAGGCGGCTTTGGAATCTGTGACTAATTAGCTCCACGGACAACTGCCCCTTTGTCATGAGTTAACAGAGGGCTTGGAAGCAGCAGTCCGGGCGAAACGTTGAAGCAGGGTGTAATTGTGAGGAAATGCAGTCCCAAAGAAGCAAGCAAGGGCCACTGCTGCTGCCGCTGCGGTGCCTTCCAGTCGTTTCTGACCCCCGGTGACCCGCGCCACCCTCACGATCGTGTGCAGGCCTGTGTTGCAGCCCGTGTCCACGCGTCTTGTTGTGGGACTTCCTCTTTTTCTCTGACCAGCCGGTGACCAAGCAGGAGGCCCCTTTCCAGGGACTGTTCTTTCCGGATAACACATTTAAGGGATGGGAGACCAAGTCTCCCCATCCTTGATTCTCAGCATTCTGGCTGTATTTCTTCTAAGACAGGCTTGTTTATCCCTTCTGGAAGTCCACGGTGCTCTCAATATTCGTCACAACGCCGTCACTCAAAGGCTTCACTTCTTCTGCAGCCTTCCTTGCTCACTGCCTGCCTGTCACATGCACATTATGAGGCAATTAAAAATGCCATGGTTTGGGCGAGCTCACCTTCCTCCTGTCCTCCCAGTGACATTCTTGCCCCTTAGAGGTAAGGAGGCAAGAATTTGCCTCAAGTACATCCTTGCTCTTCAACACTTTAAAGCGGTCTTGTGCAGCGGGTTTGGCTGCCATCATGCCTCCTTGGAGCTCCTGACCGCTGCCTCCCTGTGCACGGACTGTGGACTGCAGCAAGATGAACCGACAACGTCCCTCCTGTTTCTGGTGATCGGGATGTTTGTGGGTCCCGTTGGGAGGACTGGGGTTTCCTTCCCTTTGGGCTGTCCATACTGAGGGCTCTAGCCATGATCTTCATGGGCCAGTGCTTCAGGGCCTTCTGGATCTCTGCAAGCGAGGTATCATCTGCATTTCAATGGTTAAGAAGCCTTCCTCTATCCCCGATGGCACCTTCTTCTTCCTACAGAAAGAGATCGTAATAGTTTACAGTTACCGAACAAAAGCGTTTTAGACACAGTCATAATCATCATAGAAGCCAGTAGTTACGTGGCCTCTGGCATTTACCGCAGGCCAGGACAGTGGGGGAGCTTTTTTCCTACCATCCTGTAATCCTTACAAGGCTCTAGAGCAATGGTTCTCCACCTTCCTCAGGCTGCGACCCTCTCAGACAGTTCCTCATGGGGTGGGGACCCCCCAACCGTAACATTATTTTCGTTGCTACTTCATCACTGTCATTTTGCTACTGTTATGAATCAGGCGAGCCCTGTGAAAGAGTCACTTGACCCCCTCAAAGGGGTCGGGAAGCGCTGCTCTAGCAGTTAGTACTTAGTATCTCTTTTATGGATGAACGAAGCACACAGTTGCACAGCGATTCGGTAGCAGACCTGGGACTTGCTTCCAAATATTAAGGACCCCTGGTGTGGTGGTGCAGCGGTTAAGTGCTTGCCTGCTAGCTGAAAGGCTGGCAGTTCGAATCCACCCAGCTCTCTTTGGGGGGCACAGTGAGCCAAGATGGGCTCCGTGACATACACAACATTTCTAGTCCAGAGTCTGCACTCTCAACTGCCCTGAGAGGTAGCCTCGGGCTGAAGTCTTGGAAATTCCCGAGAATGAGCTCTTTTATTATTCCCTTTTTACAGAAAACCGAGGCCTGGTGAGGGAAAGTGAGTAGCCCCAGGCTACCTGGGAACCAGGCTGGCTGGATTCTAGCAGGTTTTCTTAATCACAGTGGGATTAGGGCGAGCTTGGAGTCACTTGTGACTTGTTAGACATTTTTGTTTTTTTTTAGAAATTGCATGTTTGTGCCATGAGGTCGTGTTCCCAGGGATGTTGCTGACCTGCGCTTGGGCAGCATGGTGGGGAGTCTGTGGCCCTGGGGTAGCTGGGAGAAGCCTGAACCCACCCTCCCTCTTGGCCAGGTCTACCCCTGACCCCTGGCCTCCTCTCTGGTGCTGTCTCTCTCTACAGGGCAGCACAGACTATTTCTTGAGCAGCGGCGACAAGATTCGCTTCTTCTTTGAGAAAGGCGTTTTTGACAAAGCAGGTTTGGAGCGGGTACCCTGGAGGTGTGGGGAGGCAAGGGGAGGGTGGGTAGCAACACCCCAGGGCTGCAAGGGTGCTGAGGTCAGTGCCCAGGGGGGACACAGATTCTGGTTCTTCTGCCTTTACCTGTTCCTGTGCAGGCAATTTCCTGGTCCCTCCGGAGAAGTCCATCAACAAAATTGGCCACGGTGAGCAGGATTTGGGAGGGCAGGGGAAAATGGGGACTCTGAAACCTGGAGCAGTTAGGGGCCTGCAATTAGGCTGCAGGTTTCCCTCTGGTCCTGCTCTTTTGCCTCTTAGGATGCCAAGCATCTGATGGCCAAGATACTGCCACCATAGCACTGGGAAACCTGCACAAGTCCACACACTGCAGAGGGGCATATGCAGGTCCCTCAACTCTCTGCTGCCTGTTGTGGCAATGATGCAGGAATGGGGGCTTCCTGGAGTCTCGTCAAGGAGGCGCCTGACATATGAACATGCTCTCTAACCAATCGGGCTCAAAATAAGCCAGGTGCCCTCCCTCTCAGACTAACACGAATGGTAGCAAATCGTGGTCCTGGGTGATGGGCAGTTCTGTGCCAGGCCTCTGGGAGTATAACCGTTAGGCCCGGACCCCTCCCAGCAGCCCTGGGAAGCAGGGCGATGCTGCTTGTCCCCATTTTACAGAGGAAGAGACGGAGGTTTATGGGAAAGGAATGGTTACCCACATGTGGGGGAAAGGGCAGCCCCCCACAACTAATTGCGGGTTTGACAGGCGCAATTGTATGGTTAGGATATATATATATATATATAAGGATTACAATAAAGTCAATGAGAATGAGAGAGATGGGAGAGTAAAATAAAGAAGTCAGACACATTTCATGGTAGCATGCTCACCTCCTGGATGGCCATGATCTTACCAGCCAGGCAGGTCTGCGCACAGGGTGGGCCGAGGGCAGGAGAGGTGGGGGGCCGGTCTGTTGCTAACCAAAGCTTATATCTACTTAGGGGGCATGATTACAGGTAACCACACACGTCACAGGAAGGGGCTGTACAATAGGCAATACCAGCAATAGGAGGGGGATATACCATGGGCATAGGCGTAACAGGAAGGGGATGAGCTGGGGGTGCACACATGACAGGAGGTGGAACTAGAGATATATATGTGACACGAAGGGCGAACCCTAGATTCATGATGGCGCCCTAACCTTGATCACCCTTGAGTGGGCTTGACCTCCCTGGACTCTCCTTCAGGGAAACAATCTACTACTATCCTTATCAGAAGGGAATGGGCCCTACTTAGGGTGGGACAGACTATACAGTCTGCTTGTTCTAGATGGCTGATAACCCTTAGGGAAAATAACCCCTGACCTACTTCTGTTGACCTCCAAGTGTATAGTCATTTGCCATGTGTAGCAAGCAGCTAAGTTTGGCTTATATTTGGGGGAGAAAACTTGGGAGAAATCTTTCTGTTTCCCACACCCATGGACGTACAGAATAAACTAGAGTCCAGAGACTGCCACCCAGGGGTGGCCCCCTGAAGTCCTTTGTCCTCCACCAGGAATGTGGAGTCAGGGATGGAGGGAGGCTTGCAGGTGGCAGGAAGGTCAGGAGTAAAGTCATGGTGGCTTGCGACGGCACATGACTCCGTTATAAACAAGCAGAATGTTTAATGCATGGAAGATAGGTGAGGACGTGTAAGTGAGGGCCGAGTCAGGGTGGGACGCCAGGAGGCTGGGAACTGGCCACAGCCCACTTCTGTCCCTGCAGCTCTGCATGCCCACGACTCTGTCTTCCGGTGCGTCACACATTCCCCCAAAGTACAGGTGAGCAGACGGTGGTGGGGGGGGCGGGGGAGGGGGCCTCAGGGGAATGTGGCCGGCAGGCAGCATGACCTCTGCCCCCTTCCAGGCTGTGGCCAGGAGTCTGGGCCTCCAGAAGCCCGTGGTGGTGCAGAGCATGTACATCTTCAAGGTGAGCGCTCTGCCTCGCTGCATCTGAGGGCTCTGCCCAAGCCCCGCTCTCTGAGGCCCCCCTCCGGTGCCACCGAGGAAGTGAGAAATGATGGTTCACTCCCCACAGCCCGAATGAAACTGGTCTCCTGGCCGAGGCACCTGATACCTCACTGTTGTCAGGTGTCGTCCTAGGGAGTTCCCACTCTCAGCGACCGTGTATGAACAGGGGACCAAAACACTGCCATCCTGCGCCAACCGACCGCCCAGTTGTTCTCAGTCTGAGCCCACTGTTGCAGCCTCGGCAGTGGACCGTAGTGTCGAGGGCCTGCCTCTGTCGCGGCCCCTGCACGTTCCCCAGCACCATGCCCCTCTCCAGGGACCGGCCTCTCCTGATGACACATCCGAAGTACATGAGACAAACTCCCACCATCCTTGCCTCTAAGTCGCATTCCGGGCATACTCCTTCCAAGGCAGATTTGTTTGTGTTTGGACGTTTATTGGTGCTCAGTTAAGATTTGGTGGGAGGAGAGAGTGGGGTGATTCCTGTATTTCCCATCTTCCTTCCTCGCTAACCAGCTGGTCTGCTCCCAGCGTTTAAGGTCCAGCTCAGTGCTACTTCTAAGAGGTCTCCCTGACCCCTAAGAAGGGCAAAGGGTCCAAGTCTCTGAGGAGCGTGACCTTGGAGCCCCTCAAGCTGGGCCAGGTGGACTCCTGCTTGGCCTGGGAGCTCTCTGCGGCCTGGGAGGGCTTTTTCTCTTTGCACCCCCCCAGAGCTGGGTGCACGGGAGGTGCTTGATGCCTGGATGTTGGGTGGAAACTCTTGGGTCCACGGCAGGGGCATCCGTTCCACGCCTCACAGGGCGAGCCCCTGCACCTCCCGGACGCCCCTCTCCCGTCCTCACCAGCCTCTGCTTCTCTTTCAGCACCCTCGCTGTGGGGGCGAAGGTGAGTCGGGTACAATCTGTGGGGCCCAGCGAAGGCCTGGAGGGGAGGATGGGGGTGTTAGTGGTTGCCGGGTCTTGGGAGGA